TAAATAYGTTCACGAAGCGTCATTCCCAATTTTTATCCTCTCAAATTCGAATAATTATAAAATAATAGCACATCGTCGCATCCCTGTCACACCATGGGAACTCCTTGCCCTGCTTAGCTAGACGGCGGTATATTTCTGACGGCTCTTTAGTCAAATTACAAATAAGTGTAGAGAGATGCGAGCTTAGAAAGACAAAATATTGACGAGTGAAGTACTTTGCCTTCGAAGACACGAAGTCTTTCAGTCATGGGGTTTTAGGCTCAAATTATTACCCTTTCTATTCTTCCCCATTACACAGCACTAAGACTTTACACTAAGATTTGTAAGGTACTTTTTTATTAATGATTGGTAAGGTCCGTAATCGTAATTTTACAGGCTTTGATAGCTAAAATTCTAATATTCACTCATTTGCTCAAAAACAAGGACAACAGACTATCACCAAAGACCTTCGATGATTATGCAGTTCTGCGCATGTGCGATATCTTTGGTACAAATAATCAGACCATAAGTTTTATCCAATTAGCGAAGGCGCGTTTTAAAATAGTGACATCTGTGCGTTCAGCTAATATTTCAACGATGTTCAATTAATGTGAGACTGTTTCATTCTCGGACCAAATTTTTGTTAAAAAAATAAACTTGATCTTTGTCGCCTTTACTTCTTAAAGTTTGAACAAAGACGGTCCAAAGCAAACCAAACTTTTGATTATCACCCATCGAGCTTTGCGAACCCGTGTCGTACACCATCTGATATAGCTTTCCAACCAATCAGAGCGCACGTTAAAGTGTACAGATTTACAGCCTATCATCGCTAGCGTACCATTTTGTTTAAAAAACGGAAGAACATATCTATCATTCGCTCCTATTATCAGTGGTTAAGAAGCTCTCTGTTGTACTTGGCATTATCATCTTTCGTCTGAAATCCTGGCGTTTTTGATTGACGGCAGTCGATAAAAGGTTGACCCAGAGCAAAGGTATTTTATAAGTTTGAGTGGCGAATACTATTTAATCTTCTGTGAAAATAATTTAGGTATATCACTGTTATTCTTAAATTTCTGAAAAGATGGAGAGTTAGACCAGGGTCAAACGTCGAAGCTCAATTCGTCGAGTAAATTCCGTTCAAATTTCTTTTTATTAGAGTCACTCCTAATATAAATGAGCTCAAAACAACGATATGGATTTCGAAAGTTAAACAACAGAAAATTCCATACGATATACTGATAAGTTAAAACGTTATTTTGTTTAAAAGTGTTTTGCACTGTTCGGCCCTCTGCTTGGGCCTCGATATTAAAACCGAAAAGGATTATGGATAAGAATGATTCAATGACTGAACGTTATGCAAATAAGGGGCATCATCGACGAAATGCTCAAAATAGCAAATGTGAGTTTTATTCACAGTGACTCCTTTGGTTGTTTCCCGCACGAAACGTTTAGGACAATGTAACGAAGCATGTCATTGTACCCATACTACATTTCGGTCGAGTTCCATAGGGTTGATAGATGTTGACACCTTATGTTTGTATTTCAGTTGGATGGAAGCTTGGCGTCTACATAGGTGTTTCCACGGGTGCAGGAGTAATCATCCTGGTTGCCATCTTCGTTCTAATACGATATTACATGAAAAGARGCTGGGCACGTAAGAAATCTCACGCGAATGGCATCGTGGGACATCTCAACCTCCCTTCACAAGTACCAGACTTCACAATCCCACTGATGCTTCCAATATTTGTACAAAGTAAATTAGAAAAAGACARCGAAGTTTTTGATCCTGTGAAGCAAACGAGTTCGCTCGGCACTACTGATTCTTTGCTTGTGCAGCCGGATGAAGATTACATCATTTTAGACAATGAAGAGGTTTGTTRTCTAAGGGCTTMCTGTGTAACTCCTAACGTCATTCCAAATTAGGTTATGTCTTTTTTTACTCCATTTCATTCCTATTAGGCAACCAGTGGTCCAGTGATAAGAAGACTCGAGTCAGTTATGGATGTATCAATGTTTCCCGATCAGGAAAACGACGAGAACAGAACGGAGGCAACCGGTCCTTGGTCCAGCTCCCGCCGTGAATCGCTGTTCTTTCCCTATTTGCTTGCAGGGAAAACGAACGTGCGAAATGTGTCGGCATCAACAGGTAGCAATTCGTCTGCGCCTTCGTCACCTTCTAAATTTGGTAAGCGGTTATGCATTTTAGTTTGTATGCAGTTAAGCTAAATCTGAAACCCAGAGTCTTTTTAAAGACTTTTTGAATTAAAATTTATAACTTCGGTCACTGGAATGCCTACAGACTGCTGAAAAACTGCCGGTCAGAATTTAGGCTCATATTTGTCGGTAACTAAAGTTGGAAAAGGTTGAATTCTTCGTTTTCATTTTACGTCACAGCCGCCATCTTGGAGGAACTTCGACAAAGGATTTCTCATTAGTATCTATTGCTCATTCCTCCAACATGGCCGCCGTTCTTTCATCTTTTGAATCTCATGGGAATGATTGAAAACGATCAATAGGTACCATCTTCTTTATCTTTTTCTATTTTCATTTATACACTTTCTGCAGAAAGAAGATACACAGAAAGAATCCGGACATTTTCCAACTCTTCAAGCACAGACCAATCTTCATCCATTCGTCCACGAATATCGTCCGATGCAGCTAGCATCAAGCACAAACGTACAAARCCGATGCTTGTGAAGAAAACAAGYTGCCCCGAGAGCACAATGACGCAAAAACTTCCTCAAAAGAAGTGGTTTGGTGACTTCAACCGCCGTCAAATGTCGTCGGACAGTTTATTAGGCGTCAAGTCATCAGTAGAGCTTCCAGCTTCTAAGCGCGGGAACTTGTCGCTTTCAATTAAGTACAACAAAGATGACAAGAAGCTTGTTGTTCATTTAGTAAACGCTACTGATTTACCCATGAAGAATAACAATTTATTGGACACGTTTGCAAGGTTGTACATGATCATGCCATCGAAACAGCTTCGACAACAAAGTAAGGTGAGCCGTACGAATTTGAACACTTAGAAGCCTAGGCAGGAGGGAAGGAACGAGTGTGTCAGAGTGAAGGGGGCGCAAGCTTTGTTTTTTCATTGGATGACCTGTGTATCATTGTCTCTAGTATCAACATTAAACTGTTTAAACCGGAGTAACATCTTTTGCTGTTGAAGTTGTTTAATATTTTCCAACTTTTCACGCAACAAAAACATTTTTCTTTAAGCACTGCCGTTACCAAAAGTAAGAAAATGACGGCCGCATTTGAACAGCGAAATCTTGTGCGACAATTAGATTTGAGAAACTGTCATTAAGATATCTGAGAAGTTCCTCTCCTAGCTACGTTAAATTTACATCATTTTGGACACTTACATCATATTTAAATCAAACTTACAACCTTTAATTAAAGTGCGGGATTTTTGCAGTATATCAGCCGATTTCACATCCATAACCAAAAACTTTACCATTTTCACTAGGTTCTGAAAAAGACCTGCAACCCAATCTACGATGAAGTCTTTATATTCGATGACATCGACAACGATGAACTTCTGCAGGCACATTTACGCATCAAAATCCTTCAAAAAGATGGATTTACAAGGGGCGAAATGATTGGCGAGTTGTCAATCAGCCTAAGTAATAGTGAATTACTGACTGGGAGTATGTTGCAAAGATGTCTGCTACCCAGAGCAAAGAGTATCACCGAGGTGAGGATTGCGTGACGTTTGTCACA